CTTTTTTTCCTCCTTCCTCCAGTTTCGGTCACGCCCTGTTGCCAGGTGAAGGTGCTGCCATGGCAGAGTACGTGAAAGCTGGCAAACGTATCCCAAGAAGAGGAGAGATCGGTCTCACCAGCGATGAGATCGCAAACTTCGAGAAGTCTGGTTACGTCATGAGTGGCAGCAGGTACGTAATGTTTAGAAAATGGACATTTTTCATAAAAAATTCTGCCTGAATATACTGAACGATCAGGTTTTTCTGTCAACAGATATTCCACGATCTGCATTATATCTTATCTTTTACAGAAACATACTTGTTTTTCCCTGAGGGGAAAAAGAGCTGATTGCTTTAAATGTCTCTGCACATTGTAACATTTGCTTTAGCTTGTGCTCTAGGCTGGGTTGAGTTGAGCAGATCCAGGAGTGTGTTCAGCTTTTCTTCCTGTAATACTGACAAATTTTTGCCCTGCAGACATCGTCGTATGGAGGCTGTGCGTCTGAGAAAGGAAAACCAGATCTACAGCGCAGACGAAAAGAGAGCCCTGGCATCGTTCAACCAGGAGGAGAGGAGAAAGAGAGAGAGCAAGATCCTGTCGAGCTTCAGGGAGATGGTGTACAGGAAAACCAAAGGCAAGGAGGAGAAGTGAACGACCAGTTTGTCTCCTGGAACCTTTACTCTTTGTTTGGTGACATGAGGTGTAAAGCTTTTTTTTCCTCTCAGTTTGAACTGAGTGTACAGTGCAGAAGTGTTTTAACTGTAAAAAATCTGTCTGAGAAGTTTTCAGTTGTATTCTCCTTCCCTTTTCTATCCATCTCTTGTAAATGTTTTCAAATGCTCCCAACCAGAATGTTAAATAAATTTTCACTATCATATCTTGTTGCCATTTTAATATTTCTTTCTGTTTTTGCTGGGAGTTCTACTATAAGTGATAAATGCATCAAGAGTAGAAAACAATTTAGAAAAGTGCAGGACCTCATCTGAGGTCCTCAGACTGAGTGAACCACTTAAATAAGGCCTTTTTCTTTTAAAACTAAGTAACTGATCTTTTTTTTGTGAAGAGTTAATTGTAGCATATTTAAGAAAGCTTGGCAAAAATGTTACCTTCAAAGTTAAAATTTAAAATCAATATTTGCCAGTATTTTTGAGCAAATATCTGAGCAAATAGCTTCTTAAGAACAGAAAGGAACCACATGAAAATTTCAGTACTTAAAAGTTTGAGCTGTGTTGTAAAGTACAGCCAAATCAATTTTACAGCCACTCCAAGACCACAGTCTAAAGCAAAAGTCTACTTCTTTGTTCCGAGCACTTTCTTTTTCATTTCAAAATAATAGAATAATCCTTTAATTGTCCCACAAGGGGAAATTTGGTTGTAACAGCAGCCAAAAAGACAAATATACTACAAACAGTTACAGGACACAGAACAGAAACATACACAATTCTTCTTACATATTTACATTAAGGACAACGGTTACTATAAACAGAGAGTACCGTACAGTTATTAAATCAAATAAAAATAATTACAGGTAAGAGGCAAACCAGGTTGTAGTGCGAATTGGTTAATTAACTAACTTATTGCAGTTACAGCATTGATGTAAACATCTATGTTATATATATCAGATATACACTGCCTGGCCAAAAAAGATCACTTAAACGTTTAAACCATAGGTGTCAAACTCTGGCCCGCAGCCTAATTACATTTGGCCCGCGAAGTCATACCAAATTACTATTAGAGCTGGCCTACTGGTATTATACAGCTAATATATATATTGTTTAGTATTAAACTTTGCTTGTTTCATATTCAGTTTTTCAGCAAAACTTGTTTGAGTCCATAAGAAAAGATTCATTCTTATATCTAGAGGAATAAATATATTTCAATAAATATTAATGTTAGCCCGCGACTTTGTTCCAGTTTTGAATTTTGTCCCACTGTGTATTTGAGTTTGACACCCCTGGTTTAAACATTTGATGAAATCAAATCAAAGAAAAACAACAGAACTCAGGGCTATGTTTAATAGCATTTCCACACGCACAATGCGGAGAGAACTCAAGGGATTGGGACTGAACAGCTGTGTAGCCATAAGAAAGCCACTAGTCAGGCAAACTGGAAAAAAGGGTTTCAATATGCTAGGGAGCATAAAGATTGGACTCAAAGGAGCAAAGGAAGAAGGTCACATGGTCTGATGAGTCCAGATTTATCCTGTTCCAGAGTGATGGGTGCGTCAAGAGAGGCAGATGAAGTGATGCACCCGTCATGCCTAGTGCCTACTGTACAAGCCTGTGGGGGCAGTGTTGTGGTCTGGGGTTGCTTCAGTTGGTCAGGTCTAGGTTCAGCAGCAGTATGTTCAATAAGAATGAGGTCAGCTGACTACCTGACTATACTGAATGACCAGGTTATTCCAGGTTATTGAATCAATGGTTTTTTTCTTCCCTGATGGCACGGGGATATTCCAAGATGACAATGCCGGGATTCATCTGGCTTGAATTGTGAATTAGTGGTTCTGGGAGCATGAGACATCATTTTCACACATGGATTGGCCACTCCAGACCTTAACCTCCTTGAGAATCTTTGGGATGTGCTGGAGAAGGGTTAGCGCAGCAGTCACAATCTACCATCATCAATGCAAAACTGGATGGAAATAAATCTTGTGACATTGCAGAAGCTTATCAAAACAATGCCACAGCAAATGTTTCAGCTTCTTTAACGTCATTATAGTACATCAGTGGTCAATGTACATTTACTTCATCTGTTTTTTAAAACCTTTATTTATTTACGAGTTGAAAGTCTTGTGACTTCTAAGATGTTTTTCACTGGTGCAATTTCTAAAAATTGCTAATACAGAATTATTGTTTTTTTCCCCACAGCGTTTCATTATTGCTTGTTTATATGAAGGACAGTAATAGAAGTTTTTAAAAAAAATAAATTTGTAAAAAACTGAAAGAAATTAATGAACTATATTGAAAAAATGTATGGATTAAGATCACGTCTTTTTTTTTTGTTTAACAGTTATTTGTTGAAGCCACTCAGAACAATAACGTTAGTTACAGTTAATGTGATGCTGCAGGAAGACGTATTACAGCTAAATGATAACAGCAGATACTGTTATACATCTCAAGTCCAGTAAACCTGTCAACATTTAAACAGATATATAAAAAAATAAATAATAGTAACTGCACTCCTTCTCCTTCTGTTACTGGTAGAAATCAATATAAGAAGCCTCACAAGATTCCCAGTGTGTGGAAGAGTTTAATCACCCATCTTAAAAGACTGAAAAACACAAACAACTGAATGTTAAATATAATCTTTTAATGTACAACAAAGAACTTTCTTCTCCCGGGTCTCTCCGGGTTCCTCGTCAGTGGATGTTCTCAAGTCCCTGGTGAGAAAAAGAGAAACAAATAAGGATTAAAAGTAGTTCTACATGAGCAGCCATTGTGTTCATTTAAGCTAATAACTCATTTTGTGGACTTTTTAAGTCTCCTTTTATGCTCTACACATGACTAACACCCCCATCGCTGCCTGTAAATCCTCAGTATTTTACAAAATTGATGGATTTTGGTGATACCTGATGACCGAGAATAAAGAAGACCACCGTGTGGTACTATATGAGGCTATAGTATGGCATCTGGTTATTTAGCAGAGAGCATATGGGATGATCAGTTTGCATAATTATATAGTTTAGGTTAAAGTATCATTACAGGAGACAATTGGATAAAAATTATTTCTGTGATGAAGTTATAGCCTTTTGAAAATGCACCTATGCACCCCAGATCCTGCAAATGTGCTACCAGGAGTGCCTCCATGAAATGACTAACTGAAACAAACCTAGGGTTTTGAAAGTGCACCGTATTTGCACATAATGCTTTTTATGAAACTGTGCACACTACTGTCGGGTAGTTTAAGCGATTCTTATATGTATATGTAGTTGTAGTCTCAGGGGAAGACTGCAAGTTGGACACTTTGCTATTCATTAGCATTACTTTTAGTTATTATGGGCAGAGGGAAGCTAACCTTGGAGTCAAAGTAGCGTCCGGTTCCTGACACTCGCTTGTCTCTGTCCATGAGATACCACTGCCACGGAACCCGAGCGATCCTTTTCTCCTGCGGGGGAAAAACACACTCTTTATAATCCAGCAGTCTGGTACACAACACGAGAACCTGCTGGCAGCGCTTGCGTCCTCACCTTTCCTCCGTTAGTGAACTTGTGGATCTGCGCGGTGGCGACACCAGGGATGATCAGACACACGGCCATGACGCCGAGTCCGGGCAGAATTTCATACCACATGATTACAGCGTCTAACTGTCAGGGGACAAAGAGCAACTTCGAGGACAACAAAGTTGCACCAAAACCTACCTAACGCTGTTTATTTATCCCAGAAAGTAGCAAAATGTCGACTGTCAGCACGACCTACGTTCCTCTTCCAGGACAAGAGAAGAACTTCCTGTTGAAGAATTTCAAGATAAAACTCTTCAATTCAACAATTCATTTTGATCGTAATTTTAAATCGATGATTACTTGATTAAATTATCCTTTTACTGTCAAAAGACGAAACCGATCGGACATGGATATGTGGGGAGGAAAAATAGTGGTAAAAATTCAATAATAATTCAAATTATATGTTAATTGTTTTTATGGACACTTGTCATTGGAAAAAAAAAAATTGAGTTTGGAGTTTGCCCCCCCCCCAAAAAAAAAATCGACTTAAAAAGCACGAAATTTTTAATTATGCACTCTTTTTTTAAAAAATCCTGATTTATTTAATTTCCTTTCGTTCGTTTGCTTTGTTTTGTTTTTTGTCTAGAAATCCCCAAACACGACGTTGTTAAAACAAACAAACAAACAAAAAAAAAAAAAACACGAACTCAACCGAGTGAGCTTTTAAATTGAAGTGTATCTGAAAGGCGGAAGTTCTTTTTGGCTCATGCTAGCATTATTTCCTTCTAACAGCATTAAGTAACCTTTCCGAATAATTCCTTTCATGGACAAACTAATTAAGAATGTAAATAAAACAACACAAAATATATTTTAGTTATTAAATTAAATGCCTAAGCACAATTGAGTTCATGTACAGCGCCCCACTCCGGCGCTGATACTGAAGCGCAGCGCTAACCGTCAGTGAGGAAGTTCTAGTTACTTCGTTCACTAGCAGAGGCTAACTCGCTGAAAGGTAAACAAGTCAGCTGAATGAGATGAGACCCAAGTCCCGGATTAAGTAAAGTTTGCTGCAATGAAGGAAGACAAAGAAAACAATCGACCGAAGGAGAAAAGAGTGGAGATAAAGTGTGAAGATGGAGAAAGGACGGAGAAGTCCAAGGAAAAGAAGGAGGCCATGACAAAGGTAAAACTTGCTAGCTGCGTTAGCTCATGTTGCTATAAACCGCCAGGTTTTTAAAATTGCAATATTTTTATGTTGTAGTGTTTTATCATCTTTCACGTGTATAATGACACGGTGCGCGTGAACTTAAGAAATTTGTTTATCAGCCCCAACTTTGTTCTCCGGATAATAACTTCACCTATGATTTAAAAAAAAAAAAAAAAAAATAGATTGTGATCAGACGACTACCACCAAGTCTCACCAAAGAGGAGCTAGAGGAGCAACTGCAACCGCTCCCAGAGGTGGACTATTTGGAGTTCTTCTCTAACGACACGAGGTGAGTTTATCTGTAAAGATTCCCTCACTGTTAACAAAAGATAAATATACTCGTATATGTGTGACACATGTGTTTTCCTCTTTCAGCCTTTACCCTCACCTCTTTGCAAGGGCTTATATCAACTTCAAAAACCAAGAGGATATAGTCCTCTTCAGAGATCGCTTTGATGGATATGTATTCATTGACAGCAGAGGTATATATAGGGAAGAAGTTACTAAACTGATTTAAAGATTTCCGTAGGAAGGACCCAAAGTTTCATCTTTTTCCACATGATGTTTACGAACAGGTCAGGAGTATCCTGCCATTGTGGAGTTTTCACCTTTTCAAAAAACTGCCAAGAAAAGAAGTAAAAAGAAGGATGCAAAGTGTGGAACAATTGTCGAAGGTAAATATATTCACCCTTTGATAAATACAATTCATCTACTGTAAAACAGCATGTCAGAAAATAAGGAAAAGCATTATAGGTCCATTTTAAGTGCAATTTAGGAACACGTATAAAGATACAGGAAAAAGTAGTCTTGCTATAATCATTAATGTGTTTATTTGTGTTTCATTTGACTTTAAGATCCAGATTACAAAAAGTTCCTTGAATATTACAACGGGGACGACGAGAAGCTAACGTCTACACCTGAGATCCTGTTGGAGGAGATTGAGGCTAAATCAAAGGAACTCGTTGGTATGTTTCGCAGTCAAATACTGATAGTTTTCAAACAAACACACTGCAGAATAAATAATTTTTATCATTTCCTTTGTTCAAGCTAAAAAAACAACTCCTCTGCTGGACTTCCTGAAGAACAAACAGGTAAATAAGTTCAGGTCGAGATGTGTATACATTGCTGAAGGCTGGCCTCACACATTTTGTTTTAATGTTCTTCAGAGACTCAGGGAGGAGAAGAAAGAAGAGCGAAGAAGGAGGGAACTCGAGCGCAAACGTCTGCGCGATGAGGAGCGTCGTAAGTGGAGGGAGGAGGAGAGGAGGAAACGCAAAGAGGCAGAGAAGATGAAGAAGCTCGAGAAACTGCCGGAGAAGGACAAAGACCAAGCTAAAGACGAGCCAAAGATAAAGGTGTGTGTGCAGTAGTTGAAAGAATAAGTTCGAAACTGTGTCCAACTTTCAGTTCTTAATGTGTGTTTACTTTTTCTGTTGTAGCTCCTGAAGAAGCCAGAGAGAGGAGATGAAGGCAACCCGGAGAAGCCAAAAGAGAAGTCCAAGAAACCAGAGAAGCTAAATAAAGAGGACAGATCTTTGGGAGGTTCTGATCATAAGAGACGTCAGAACATCGAGCACAAGGAGGATCGAGGAAGGAAGTTAGTTCTTCACTCTTCTTTTAATTGTCCAAATACATTAACCTTCAACCCTCAAGTGAACAAGCTATTTTAGGTTGACCCCATTATATTTAATACCGGAATGATGTTAATGCCAGAGGAGGTTTGAGCTCTGTGGGTATTGAGCCAACAAAACATTGTTGACACTCCACTAGCCTCAGCTCTCTCTGACTTCACCCGATCTGTCACTTTGTGGTTGAGTTGATGTGGTTATTTAATACTTCCACTCTCCAATAGCACTGCTTACAGTTGATTGTGGAAAATGTAGGAGTTCCACCGGAAGACTGTTGTTGCTTGTTTTGTTTTGTTTTAAATAAATGTTTGTAAAGGCAGACTACATGGATTGCTACTTGATTTTAATTAAGTGGTGGCTCAATACTTACTTTCCAAAACCAAAACCGAAGGCATGTGATGTAGTAACGAGCATCTAGGGTAAAACTAGACTGAGCCGGTTTCTCCAGTTTGTACATACAAAAATGTATTTATCTATTTTCCCTACCTGCTAACGTTCGTCGTGGATGGAATTTTT